ATAACCACCAGATCGAAATATCCCGCGGGAAGATCCAGGGGACCCGCCGCCGCCGCCGCCGTCCGCCGCCGCCGCAGGTGACGACAATGGCGGCGATGGCGGCGAAGGCGACGGCCGCAACTCCGCGACGTCGCCGACAATGTACGATACGGCCTCCGCCAGCCCCGCCGCCGCCGCCAGCGCGCGCGCGTAGGCGGCATTGCCCGCTGACGCGTCGACCACCACCACTTTCGACGCCCCAAGAGCCGCCAGTGCTACAGCCTTGTGGCCGTGACTGCCCAACAGGTTGGCGATACGTAGACCTTGGAGGGGGGGTGAGTCTGTATGTGTTTCGGTGGGGTGGGGGGTTGGGGTGGGGGGGAAGGGGTTTTGGTGCGTGTGCGTGGGGTGCCCAAGTGTATTGCGGAGGGACTTAGGGTTTAACCCCATCCACGTCTACCACATGTCTCTTTGACCATAGTGGATTATTTATTTTCCAAGATTTTTAAAAAAATATCCTTTTTTGAGAACTTTTAGGAAGTTGTGACCCCCTGAACATTCCCCCCTGGCCACTGGCGTCTTGGGAATAAGACGCCGCGGGGGGTCCCAGCCCAGTCAGCTGCATTATCCAACCAAATAACCAACCACCTAACCAACCTGGCATGGTAATGTACGGCAAGAGCGGCCCGAGGCAACGACTTGGGTATTGGAGCAACCGGGCAGCAGCATCGGCGGGAGATCCGAAACGCGCCACCCAGGCGTCGAAAGCGGCGTCACGGCCCCATGCCGCCGTGTTGGCGGCGGATAGCTCCTGTACGGCAGTTCCGTGGCGTCAAAGGCGGCGACGGTGGTGGGCGTGGCGGCGAGAGCGACACGGGGTGCTGCTGGGCCAGGGCGGTATGTCCACCGGCTCCCAGCACAGTACCTCTTAGGAGTCACCAGCATCAGCATCAGCATCAGGATTAGCGGCGGGCCCAGTCCCTCTCATCACCGGTCTACATACTGGCTACGCCTCCTACAATCCCCTGGTGCCGGGGGCCCGCAAGCAGGGGGGAATGTGAAATTTGCCCAGTTTGCTTGAGCTTGCATAATTTGTATATTTCCATGTTTCCAACGATTAATTCTTGGCCGTTCTGACGTGCCATGGCCCTGGAACTTTACCGCGGACATTGCCCGCCCCGTACGAGGGCAACGCTGCGCATTGCCGCATGTACAGTTGCTTTGCCGCGTTTTTCTTTTGCAGTTTAATTTTATTTCATAATTCCAGGGGACTTGCAAGGAAACCTGCGTCCTTGCCTTGTCACTCGCCTCCGCATGTGTAACCATCGACCGGTCATAACGAAGCGATAACTAACTTCCGCTGTTGCAGCGTTTGTTGTTCCTTCATCTTTAGGATTTTACTAAAAGGCAACATACATCCAATAGTTTTCGTTGTATTCTGCACTTCTGGGACAGACTTTTTGTACCCCGCGCAAGCTGCCTGTTATTGCCTTCAGACCGTCCTTAAACACCCAAGTTGCTGGGTAGATATATAGGAAATTAGATTCTAATTTTGCAAAGTTATGCGCTGGCCTCTATGTATTGTGGATAACATTCGCCAGCCACGCAACCAGCTCGGCACAACATCGGACAACTATTTAGTTTCGACACATCTAAGCATCTTTTCGTTAATATGCAGGCCATATAATTGGATAGGACATATTGCTTTTTTCAGCCTACTCTGCTGGTTCTTCACTTTCGCAGCTGGTTCGCCTACTCCCCGCCTGTACTACCGGACATCCTTCGTCTATCGACTCGTCTTAGCACGCACACATTTCTTTGTTTTTTCTTCGTTCCCAGGTTGCTCACCGCGATCCTACTTCTAGCTGCGAGTAAGCTCGCACAAATAAGTGTGTGTTCAAAGCTCCTCACCCGCTGCAAGCTCCTCAGCGCGCCCCGCACCGCCACCGCCAGCTCGGCGTCCCCGGATCGATCCGCCTCCACCGCAACCGAGTACAGAGACTGAGACCACACCTCCGCCTGAAAATGTGAAGAAAGCAACGACCCCAAAAACGTAGAAGCGTGATGTCGCGTCCCCTAGGCCGCCGCCCCTATTAAGCCCGACGCTGCGCACACCTCGCCCCGCGTACGGCCCGTACAATCCGTACCGGCCCCCATACAGCATATTGATGGTGCAGCCAGCGCCCCTCAGCCCTAAACTTCCCCCTGTCGCTATGGTAAATATGTCGTACCTGCACACAACCCCTAGAAGCCCTCGCCGTTAGGACAGCCAAAGCAGGCAGCGGCGGCACTAGCGGAGGCTGTAGCGGCGGAAGCGTCGAAGATAATGCGGGTGCGGAAGAAGAAGATAGTGATGACGGCGGCGGGGGTGGCGGTTGGGGCCTTATGGGAATCCGGTCCGGGAGCGCTCTCAAAGTTGTGTTGTACGTACAGCAAAAGGAAACCCGTACGACAGACGGCAGTACGGCAGCTACATCCGTGCTGTTCCTGCTGTTGTTGTCCTTGCTACTGCTGTGGTTGGTAGTGGTTGTGGTTGTGGCTGCGGTTGTGGTAATTAAAGTGAACGATGCGGATGCCCCTCCTGTTTCCTCCCTAAGAGGCTCGGCGCTCCAGAACCAGCTTCCTCCTCCTCCCCGTCCAAAACACAGGGGGCTGTCCTGACGGCTGAACATGTCGTGGATGGTCTGCACGGCGCCCGTGTACGGCAGTGGAGGCGGTGCAGCGGGCGGAAGTGGGGCCAGCGTGGCAGCACAGTTCATGATGTGATCACACGGCGGCGGCAAGTGCGGTGGAGCAGGCCCGGACGTGGTTGCCGAGGAAAGTGGGTGGAGGGGGGAAAGAGGGTGGAGCGGTTGTTTCTAGGGCGACGAGACAGGCTGACAGACATACAGACAGACAGACAGACGGGCATGTTCATCCTCTAATCCCCGCTACGAAGTGCCGTTAGTTCGCTTGCACGTTGAAGGTACTTCAGGTCCTCAGCAAGCTTAGCAAGCTTACGAAGGACGTCGTTTTGAAGCCCCGGGGGATTCCGCGACCTGTAACTTGTAACTTGTAACCAATCTAACGGTCCTTTCTCATCCCCCTCTCCGGAGCGGGGGTTCCTCGCCGGACTGCGCCACCAACGACCAACCACCAACCACCCTGGCCTCCCCGGGTGCCCTTCCTCCCTCCTGACCTTCATCTGGTCCCACTGCACTTCCACCTCCAGCTCCGGAACCATACCCTCCACATCACCATCTGCACCCTGCTGCTGCCCCTGCTGCTGCTGCTGCCCCTGCTGCTGCAAACGCGGTAGCGGCGATGGCGATGGCGCTTTGTTACATGCGGAATTCGGTCCGGGGGGAAATTGACGGGTGATGGTGGTATCGAAACCGTGGCCGCTGCTACTGCCGTTGCTGCTACCACCGCTGCCGCTACTGCCGCGCCTGCTGGTGCTGTCCATGCAGCTGCTCTCGTCACCTACCGGGTCGTCGTCATTGCTACTGCCTTTGCTCTGGATGTCGGCCGCAGCGCTGCTCGTGCCGATGATGCCGAAGCTGCTGCTTGTGCTGCTGCTGCGACGATGGTGGTGGTCGTGGCGGCGCAGCGGCAGCGCGATGCCATGCAGCCAGGCGGCCGTACGTCGTACAGCACAGTAGGCAAAACCTGCTTCGTCGAGTGGACGCACGACATGCAGCAGCAGGTCTAGCAACGGATCGTACGGCACAGGCGCCGGCGGCGGCTGACGTGACGCGGCATCGCCGTGGCCGCCGCCGTCGCCCCCACCTGCCCGCCCGCGGACCTCAATAGCACTGGATTTTGGATCCACGGTACCAAGCGTTGCCGCCGCCGCGACCGCTGCTGTGGCTGTCGTATAGGCCACGTCGGACCCCTGTAGCCGTACTGGAACTGGGTCACAGGGAGAGCCGGCGGCGGAGGCGGCGGAGGCGGCACGTTCAAGTCGACTGCGGCTGCCTTTGCGGTAGTTATGCGGCTGCCCGCCGCCGCCCCCCAGCCCTTCCCTCGGAGGCCCTTGGGGAGGAACGCTATTTGCGAATCCGGCAATTTTCAGTTTTTGGCCGTTGACCGTTGAGACGTTAGGTGGCTGTTGGCTCTTCCCGCCGCGGCGGGGTGGGAGGGTTGAGGGCGGCAAGGCGGGGCGATGCCGGCGTGGGTGGGCGGATGGAGAGTCTGGACGGCCCGCGGCGGCAACAGCGGCGCTATCCCGTGAGGCAGCCATGCGCACCGCGCTGCTGCTGCGACTGAAGTTTCGGGTGCAATCCGGCGGGGCTACAAGTGGGAGGGGAATGGTGTGAATGAGTAATGCTGGAGAAGGAGAAAAACTGGACCGTTGCGGGAGATGTGACAAGCGGGAGATGGGGACTTTGTTTGGTCGGGCTCTGCGCGTCTGTGAGAAACAATAATGCATAACTGGGCATTTTCGTGCGCTTTGTATTTCGTATGTTTGAACCAGACACTTGTTTGAGTGTTCGTCGCCGTGTGCGTCGACGATGGCCTATCTGTACTTTCCGTGGACTTACCAACGGCGACGGACCGAACCTCTGATGCTAGCATGCTCGCACAGCGCTTCATGTTTGTAAAGGCTAGGGCTGTGAACGAGGCTACTGTTGGTATAGTTGTCCTGGTAAGGTGCCAGCCGCCGGTGACCGTTGCCATCATCCGTAATCATACATTTACAAGCTTCGATATGTTTTACACCAAAGTAGAGGTAGAAGGAGACCCACAGACCAAATGGAAAATGTCGAGGACACGGGAGCAACGACCCGGGGTTCAAATGCTCGTTCAACAGACAACCGAATGAAAGCTAAACGAAATGCAAAAAGGAATTAAATCATAGAATATAATGCAAGATGCAATAGCTAAGTCATCTGATAGTTCACTCCAAAAGTCACACGCTCTTGATGCATGTGACCATTTGCGCTGCACTCAACACAATCTGTCTCACACAACTCCTTCCTGAGGCTAAGAACTTATGATGACATACCCTTCGCCAAAATCTTGGAGGACATGCCCTTGCGACAGCTAGCACTAGAAATTTGCTCTTGATGACTGTACACGGTTATTTACAGGTGCGGCTCGAGATAGGCAAAGAACTTCTCCAAGTAAAACTCCGCATAGACGGGGGCTCCGTAAGCTTCAATTCTTCAACGCCATATCTGCAGCAGTTTGTCGCAAGGGAAGAGGATCAGTTGTACAGATGACAAGGCGTTTGCCATCATCAAACACCAGCATCACCATTATGGAAAGTGTCGATCACATTTTAACAGCTACGGTATCAGCATACGAAATGACTGCAGAGCAGCATTCTCATGACTTCAACACAGTTACGCCCTGCGGACCAAGCTCACCATCCCGGAACAGTCTGTCCAGCTCGCGCGCATCGCGGCTAGCTCCCAACGCCTGAAGGCCCGACCCGCGCCGTATCCCAAACGCATCGCCGCCGCCAGGCTGTAGCCCCGCCAGTAGCTGCTGTTGCTGCTGCTGCTGCGGCGGCGGCGGCAGTGGCGGACGCGGACGCGCCACAGCTCCGTTCCCACCATTATCCTCCCCACCGCAGCCGCCCGAGTGCGGAAACTCCTGCGGCTCCTGCGCCTGCCGTTGTCGCTGCGTCCTTAGATTCGCCGCATCCGGATCCCAGCATGGATCCGAATCCATGTCTGGCAGCGTCGTGTCGTCCAGCAGCCTCCCGAGTAAGGCATGGGCACCTAGCTCTGAAAGCACCCTCTGCGGTCGTCAGACACCCGTGTGGCGTATAGCACACCGGTAGTAAGATGGGGCAGAGGGAAGGGGGGAAAGGGGGGGAAGGGGGAAAGGAAAACACACGATGGGGCAAAAGACAGCGGGACAAAGGTACTCACAAACGGCAATCAGTTACCAACAATAATCCACCATCACATCACCAACAATAATCCACCATCACATCACCAACAATAATCCACCATCACATCCACCATTCCACACTAACATGATATGGACACCTCCACAAAAACCCACCGCCTCCTCACCACAAACTGAGGCAGCCCCCCCGCGCACACAATTTTCTCAACCCCGCCTCCTGCTCAGCTTCACCTGCATCTTCTCCAGCTTCCTCCGCCTCTCCTGGCGCCGTACCCAGTCCCCGTAGCGGCTGGCCTCCTGCAGCACGTCGTTGGCGGATGTGAGCTTGTAGGCAGCATTCCTGAAAAAGGGACGGTGGGGGTAGGAGCGGCACCATCATCATCACCATCAACACCATCCCCCTCGTTATCCCCTGAACCCCTATCAACACCCACATTGGGTTCTTAGTTTCCCTCATGTCACATTAAAAGCCATTACTACACAGCGCCAAAACCCACATGACTCCACATGACTCAACCGGATCCTGACCCTCACAGCCCTCGCGCAACAAACCCGACGGCTTAACCCCGGGGCTGCGTCTCTGCAGCGGTGGACGTGTGCCGTACCTGGCGGCGGCAGTGGTGGTGGTAGTTGTGGTGGCGGGCAGAGGCGCCAGGCGGGCTCGGAGTCCCTTCCCGGGGTCCATGGGGGTGGCCAGGCAGGTCGCCAGTCCGAAGTCAACATCGCTGATGTCGTTGAGCAGGTGCGGCTGTGCGAGGTGGTGGTGGATGCCGAGGCTGGCGGCAGCAGCGGCGGCGGGCGGTTGCATCGCAGCATGGACAGGAAAGCTGCCGGCTGAGGAGCGGGAGATGGAGTGGACATGGCGGCCTGGTCCGGCGGGGTGGGCGATGCCAAGCAGAGGCGGAGCTGTGTGCAGTTGGCCGTAGGTAGAGAAGCACTGCTCTGCTGTGATATTGGACTCGTAGACGGAGGTGACGATGTTTGAGAGTACATGAGAGTACGCCAGGTCGACTGGTGGCAGCGCATGGCAGGTCAGAGACGAAGCGCGGGGCCGCGTGGGGGTATTGCAGCTGCTGCGGGAGCTGGCGCCGACTGGCGCAGCCGGCAAGGCGCCGTTTGGCAGGCAGGCATGGGAGCCGATTAGAGGCGAAGTCGGACAGGTCGGGGGCGTTCTTTGGCCGACCTGCAATCATTAAGAGGTGCATGTTTGCATGCATTGAGGCGAAATGGGATACGGAACACATGGAGAAGACTTTCGCGGAATTGTCGGTAGTAGGGTCATACCGCTTCCAAGCGATCTTTGATACACCTCAGCTGGAACAAATGTTTTGGGTATTTTGGCTAGAACTTGCATTAATATGCGTGGGCGCTGTCAGTTGCTTGTATTTGTTGACATGGGCCCATCTAAGTGCCGCAGAGGAGAAAAGCATTTCCTTATAAAACGCCTTGTGTCCTCATTTTAACACAAACACTGAGAATGTAACCCACCACAGAAGATAGTGGTGAACGTGGTGGAAGCCGTGTGAGCAGCTCTGGCGCAACGTCCCCAACCAGGGCGCCAGCCGACGGGGAGCGACGATGCATGCTGTTTATATGGGATTAATGTAAATGCCTTAAACCTTTATCTGCAAAGATGATGGGACCATCAAGACGTTACTTGTATGCGACACGATAGGCTTTAAAAAGCTTCATGCACGAGACGATGCCACAAATGCAACGACAGCATAACGCAAACAACTTTTAAACCTAAAAATCATACTCGTCAAAGAGGTTATTAATTAGAAGACTGGAACGAGGTTGGATCCATGTACCGTATACGGCAACGGAAAGCATCGGAAGTGGCAGATTTAAGAGAGGCTACGAAAGCGCGCTGAGCTGTTGGAGATAGGAGGGCGACCTAGGTTTAGGCTATCATTTTCTCCTATAGTGGACGCGTCTACACATCTCTCGCCTCGCTTGCTGCGCTTGCAGCAACAGGCACAACCTAGCCATTTCTAGGCGCGCAAAAGTCGCCACATATAGGCGATTGAATTATTGCTCCAAACCGGCTCCAGTCGTGGCGACTCCAGTGCGAATTCGGGGGCACTTGAACTGGTAACCGACAGCACCTTGCGAACGGCCTAATGGACTAACAGGCAAGCATCTATCATGTCGTGGGCGCCAAATATGATGTGCGCAATTAAATCATGCCTCCCAGCATCACCAGTTTTAGCTTCCCTGCGGGCCATCTCATGGCGTTGGTACTTTCGCCAAGCGGCAACTAACGCTTTGCATCTTGCCATCATTAGGTTTTGTCACCAAGCAAAGATTTTTGCTCAATGCGCTTTGCAAATCTCATGGCTGAACTTTGCCTGTCGAACGCTCCATGACACATCTTTGTCAGCCATACCTGAAAATGATAAGCTAGCCTTGCATTTTTTCCACGCAGGCTGCTCGCTGCATCCCTTCCTACAACCGACGCAGGCTTGCAGTTGCAGAAACCTGTAAAACTGGCTTTTTTGCAATAGCTGGCTCGTTGGCGTCGACAGCAATGTCGGCCATCGTTACGCAAAGAAAAAAATTGTAAAAATTGTCAAGAGGTGGAGTAAGGGGCGAGAAAAGTTTTACTTGCTCGACGTTCCTCTGCTGTGTAACTCTCCTCGACACCGATCGGGCCGAGCAAACGCACATCTATCGCTGGACTCGCGACACGACCGCAAAGCAGCTCCCTAACAGCGCAAATATCGCAATGCTTTCGCCTTCCCCTTCCTCCTCTTCTCACGACGCCGCTCGCCTTGCCTGGGAATGGGATCCGGATGATCTAGCCATGGCGGCGCCAGACTCTGAAAGCCCTCCCCGTACAGCGCCCATGCCCCCTTCCACCGCCGCCGCCGCCGCTGCCGCGAAGAGCCCTTTCGGGGCCCTGCACGTCTTCACTGGTGGGACAGTTTTGCGAACATCCGGCCTCGGCCACCGAAGCTCCTCCTCCGGGGCGAGAGGGTCACAGCCAATGCCGCCGCCATCACAGCGACCCTTCGACCGCGTCGGTCGCGATGCCGACGGAAGTTTCGACGGCGACGGTCGACTTCGACGTGACGGCGCATTCATCAGCGGCAGTAGCGTGTCCAGCATTAGCATCGTACTCGATGCCGCCTCAGCGACCGGCGTTGTATCTGGCAGCGATTCGGGCGCGAGTAAAGCTGTCTCGACCAGTGCTACTGCTGCTGTTGCTGCTGCCGGTGAAATGCCGTCGCATCGGCTACCGGCGGCATCGCCGGCGTCGTCACCGGCGTCGCCGGCGCCAGCACCCGGAGCGGCGATGGCATCGCCCTCTTCTTCGTCGTCAGGCGTTCACGACGCCACGACGGCGGCGGCGGAGCCGTACTACGCAGCTGCCGATACATTGCCGTACATGACAGCTAGGCCACTGCGTGGCAGCTCCGACAGCGCTTCTGCTTTTGCCGCCCCGATCATCTCCTCTGATGTTGCTACTGCAGCGATTGTGAGCAATATAGGCGGCGACGGTGAGTCCCAGCATGGGTGCCGTGTGCCACTGGGGATCAACAGCGCTGGGACCGGCGGCGGCGGCAGCAGCAGTAGCAGCAGCGGCGACGGCGGCGGCGGTGGCCCTAATGGCAGCACTAGCAGCGGCGGCGATAGGGTTGGCAGTAGCAGGAGCAGCAGTAGCAGTAAGTTGCCACCTGTAAGCATGGGCAGATGTGGCAGCGGCGTTAGCGGTGGCGGTGACGGGGGGAACAGGAGCATCAGCGGGGGGGACGGCGGCAGCGGCGGCCGACTCGCGCGCGTGGAGACGCCTGGCGGCGCCGCAGCGGCGGCATCCCTCCCGACGGGCGGCTGCCCAAGCGGTTCCGTACAAATCGATTTAAGCTCTGGCGCGGAGACTTCGTCCCCCAACGCTAAGCAAGCCCACCTGAGCATCAGCTTCCTGGCTTTGCCGCCGCCGCCGCCAGCGCTGATGTCACAGGGCGGCGCGTTAGCAAGCGGACAAGTCAGCAGCGGCGGCGGCGGAGCCGCCGCCGCAGCTGTTGCGTCCATGCCGCTGCCCAAGTGTCTTTACCGTACGACAGACGACACCTCCGTACCCGCCGGTGTCGTATATGCGCGATTTCCTGAGGTGACACCGGCGGCGGAGGCAGCGGCCAAAGCTCCCGTCAGCGCTCCGATCGACCGGTCGACCTACATAATGACTACTTCCACTACGTCTTCATCGCGCGATACCGCCGCCGCCGCCGCAGCCGCCGCCGCCGGCACTGATCGCGCGGTTGAGGCTTCGGCGTCCGAGGCCGAACTTCGGGACGTTGACTTAGTGGCGACTATCAGGGCCAACCCAGTCGACGTCAGCGCCGATGACGCGACCCTTGACACGGAGGACTCCGCGGTCGGCACCGCCGCCGCCGCCGCCGCCACGCCGACGGGAACCGACAGCGACGACGGCGGCGGTCCCGCAGCGTTGCCGCCGGAGGTCCGCCGGAGGTTGAGCGGGCACCTGGGGCGACAGCGCACCAAGAGTATCCGAAATTGGAAAGACCTCTCGCACAGGTATGGTGTTTGCCTACCTACCTATCTATCTATCTGTATGTATCTATGTATCCATCTATCTACCTATCTATCTACCTACCTACCTACCTACCTACTTATCTACTACCTATGTATCTGTATGTATCTATCTGTCTATCTGTCTGTCTATCTGTCTGTTTTTCTGTCTGTCTATCAAAACCCCCCGGGGATATCCGTCGTTGAGATCTGCCCTCCCGTGTCTTACCTCCCTCCTCCCCCTTCTTCTCCTCCTTCTATCGGGGCCCCCGACAACACACATACGTACATACATACACACACACACACACCCATGCAGCATGGCAGGTCAACCCCCCGGGTATTGGCTCCTAGGCACCATGCTGCTGCTGGTGGTGATGGTGGGTGCATTTCTTTTCATGGCGGGACAGTACGAATTCGTACGACCAATCGACGTGTCGGGAAGTCTTAATACCAAAGGGTAAGTCCAGAAGGGCAGTTATTGCGGTTGGAGGAAGCGGTTGGGTCCGTTATGGCAGTTGATTACTCTCCACCATCCAGCCCTTACCGCCACTTCCCATCCAACTCATCTGCCAACCGCCAACTACCATAAAAACCTTAAAACCCCAAAATCCTAACCGCCCCAACTCCCAACTTATTCTAAAACAGGGAAGACTTTACCGCGATGGTGCTGTCCGGTGGCTCCCTTTCCAGCTACAGCTGGGGACCTGCCTGTTTAGGAACCTGGCTACAGTTCTGGCGCAGCCCCTCCTCCCGTACATTCGGTTTTGACTATCTTCGCGTGTGGGGCGGGCGTTACGGTCCTGATCTGGCAAGTGGTCAGTGGTGGCGGTGGGTGACGTCCCTCCTTCTTCACCAGAGCACCATGCACCTGGCGGCCAACATGGCCCTGTTGCTGGTGAGTGCGTGGTGTGGTGGGGTGGGGGTGTGGTGTGTGTGGGGAGAGGGAGGTGGGCGGGGCGAAAGGGTAAGGACGGAGGGCGGGATGACTTGGAGACAGACAGACAGACAGACAGACAAACACAATATGTTAAAAAACAGGCCGCAGGTGATGCGACGTCGAGTTACCTGCCAGTCACCTGAGCGTTATCTGTTGGTTGGTTAGTTGGTTAGTTGGTGTCAGTTGCATGTGGGTTTACCGCCGGCCAGCATAGCAGCGGTAGGGCCATCATCCCTTCTTCTTTCCTTCAAAACGCCCCTCTCTCCCCACACGGACCACACACCTCCCCCGCCAAAACCCCGCCCCGCACCCTCCTGGACATCCCCCCGCCCCCCCCGCCCCCCCCGCCCCCCTCTCCCCCCTCGCCCCCCCCGGCCCCCTAATCCTGCTGACGTACCTCTCAGGTTCTCGCCTCATACCTGGAATCGCTATTCGGGTGCTGGCGGTTGCTGCCCGTGTGGGTGGTAGCCGGGGTGGCTGGGAACATGGTGCGCGTGTCAGAGTTGGGTTGGGTTTGATGGGGTGTGTGAAGGTGATGTGGGTTTGGAGAAGTGGTGCTGGCGATGGGGGGGGGAGGGGAAGGGGGGTTTTGACATCCTAAGTAACGACCCGGGTAGTGGGTAGTGATATTGACACGGGGAACTCGAGTACACGGCCCCGAGATGTACGACGCTAAAACCCTAGAACCCCACACCCTTCCCCCAACCCAACCCCCGGGTCGCATGGCGCTCTTTCCTACGTACCCCGGCTCATTCCCCTTCATTCCCCTTCCCTTTTTACTCAAGACACACCCGCACACGCACACGAACTTGCACGCAGGCCAGTGCGTTTTTCGAGAACCCGTGCACTCTGGTGGTTGGCTCTTCCGGGGCCGTGTTTGGGCTGCTAGGTGCCTTTGTGGCGGACGCTGCCATCAACTTTGAATCCATTCCGTTATTATGGTTGCGGTTGGCGGGTATGGCGGCGGTTGCGGCACTGCTGGTGGCTCTGCAGGTGCGTGTCGTGTATTGGGGGGTGTGAAGAAGGGGGAAGGGGGAACATCGCCAACGTTAGAATAGTTGAGGTGCGTGTGTGTGTGTGTGCTTCCGTACAGCTGAATCAGGGATGTGTGATAAGGCCCCTTTAAGTGGAGCTGACAAGAGCAGTAAGTCCTCCAGGATTGGAGGGGAGGACCGCTATCCCACGTGCCGACACACACACACCTCAACACACACATCCGCACACACACACATCAACACACACACACACACATCAACACACCCATACATCAACACACCCATACATCAACACACCCATACATCAACACACCCATACATCAACACACCCATACATCAACACCCACACACATCAACACCCACACACATCAACACCCACACACATCAACACACCCATACATCAACACACACACCCATACATCAACACACCCACAGATCACGGGCCACACCGGGGGCTCCAACACCCGGGGTAGCTCCACCTCTCATGCCTCGCACGCGGGTGGCTTCCTCTCGGGCGGCATGTTGGCCTGGCTGCTGCTACCGGACTTCAAGGCCCGCCGAAGCATGAAGGTGCGAGGTGTGCCGTGTAGGTCCGTAGGTTGGGAACAGGAGCAATACACACGTGCACGTCTTCCCTGACCCGCATGGGGTGTGCTTGTGTGTGAACGAGAGAGGGAGTCTAGCTAGAGGGACTAGGGGTATCTCCGAGAGGTTTGTATGTATGTCGTTACAGGGTGGTACAGCTTCACCAGCGGGCCCATTTCCCTTGGAGGCAGTTTCCTGCTCTCCCCTGCGAGAGGGGCACCCTAATCCATTCACCCCATCCGACTTCGGGATGTATTCATTGGGTGCAGCAACTCATCACCAGCATCCAACCAAATCTAGCGGATCAACGGCGCCCCAACTTAGGTCCTGGTCAGCATTTGTATGTATGTATGTATGTATGTAGGTATCTGCATGTGCCTGTTTTTTTATACGGTGTGCGTTGTGATCTTCTCCGCATCCTCTGCATCATTCCATTACAAACACACACACGCACACGCAGGTTTCGGAGCTTCTGACGGCTTCCGGCATTTCGAGCAGCCTGCCAGATCCCTCCTCCCCCGGTGGCGCCCAGCTGTACTCGTTCTGGCAGCGACACAAGATCCTGTTGTACGGCATGTACGGCGTGGCCGTACTCCTGCTACTGGTGATGCTTTTGGCGCTGCCGCTGGTTCTGTACCTGAGGACGTTTCAGCGCATGGTTTGTGGATGAGGTGGAAGACGGGGGTTGGGGAAATGGCTGGGAGTGACGTGTCAGGGAGCACGTGGCTGGGAGTGACGTGTCAGGGAGTGACGTGGCGGGATGGACGTGTGTTGTGCGTGTGTGTATGGGGGGGAAAGGGGCCTCGGGAGGTGAGGTGAGGGGGGAGGAGGGGGAACCGCTGACTGATAAGCTAAGATGGAGGACATGAGGCCCGAGGGGGGGAGATGGGGGAAAGATGCCCGGATGCATTGACGGAGGGGAAGAGAAGCAAAACCGCACAACCCATCACTTCCCGGGTTGGGGATGATGTGACAACACCGTTTCTCGGTGTGCTGACTGGACGAGCATTTCGGAATTCACCGCATGGTTCATAATTCTCGGGATGTATGTATGTATGTATGTATGTATGTATGTATGTATGTATGTATGTATGTATGTATGTATGTATGTATGTATGTATGTATGTATGTATGTATGTATGTATGTATGTATGTATGTATGTATGTATGTATGTATGTATGTATGTATGTATGTATGTATGTATGTATGTATGTATGTAATTGCATTGCAGGCACGGCATTGCATTGCGGGGACGGCGGCGGTACGCCGGCGGCGGTAGTTAGGTCTTAAGGTTTTGAGTTTACGCGAGCCGGGTTGGCAGGAGGAGAGGTGGCCAAGCGTTTGGTGATTCCATGTGAGCGTTTGTGTGTGTGTGTGTGTGTGTGTGTGTAGGATTTTTTCATTATCTCATGTTTCGTAGAGAAGGAATTGGAGGGCGTGAAGGGTCGAAGAGTTGTGCAAAAGAGCCGTTGAAGCTCTAAAAGGGGAGGGGACAGGGGAGCATATATGAAGGTTTCTAATCCGTTGTAGCGGTTGTCAGTTGGCGTTGCTTTGTTAATTGAAAGACGTTGCGGACAGGGGTGCTGGGAAGAACGATTCTGGGCAGAAATGGACCAACTGATGGAAGAACGGATAGACAGACAGACAGACAGGCAAACAGATATGCCGGGAACTCGGGGTACTTGTTTTACTGATGGGATGGGAAGAGGAGGAGGTGAGGTTGCTGAAGAGGTACGTCCAGATGCTGTCAGTTGGTCGGTTGATTCCAGTTGGTTCGTTAGTTGGATCCAAGAAGGGGGAAGAAACATGGGATGTAAAAGAAGGAAACTAAGGGACCAGGGACAGGGAGACTCGAGCTGCGCAACTTGGCCGGCGAGTTTTAATCTGTCTTGATGCTCCGTGCTGGGGGCGAGGTTGCACATGTAGTACAAGTGTACACAAACATTGATATTTCGTTGATATACCTACAGACATGTATGTTGTTAACGCTGTTCTTGTAACCGAAAAAGTCACCGACTAGCTGCGAGAAGCCAGTGCAATGCTGCGTCGTGAAGCACTACTGTTCCACCATGTCGACAATTCGAAGAGCAGAACAAAACAATGGTTTTCATGCTAAGTCTACGTTACACCACGACCCTAAAGGGGTTAATGAACAGAGGAAGGACGAGACAGGGGAACATTTGCCGCTCCAATGCGTAAATTCGTCCCATTCATCTTAGGGCTCTGTTTTTTGTCTTGACGCTGCTGCTTGCTTGAATTTCTTCGACAAAGTACATGATGTTGACACGGCCCTGGTCGACCGTCATCATCGTTCTGCAAATTGTTCCACGCGTGCTAAAACTAGCTTACGGGAAGCGGGGGGCGCCACAGAGCGTCATTGGGGCGGAGAGAAACCCACGGGTCGCCAACGAATATACAGTTCGAACGCATGCACATGCACACACGCAGCTGCAGCTGCAGCTGCGTGCGCACTAAATCTCGCTTGCGCACCACAGGGTTGTGTGTTTGTGCGTGTGTGGCTCAAAAGAACTTACACCATCACAGGTGGGAGAAGACAAATTTACACATGCATTCCTACCCACAAAAACGCGCATTCCTCCACAAAAGCGTTTGTGTAAAAGAAGTTAAAAGAAGTCCCCCACGGCACCTCTCTCCAGACCTCCACATCTGGACGACTTTGCGCCCTGTCCCATAAAAAGAGTCAAAAGGTACCCCACATCCCATACCACACTGCATGCATCCGATGTGTATCATGCTTTGGATGTATTGCAAATGCATCCCCCTTAACCCCGGCGTCGAGACATTCTGACACATTCAGATATTGTGTCCCTGATGTGGCCTCCAAATGAATCAGGGCGGCGTGTGGTGGCGTCACGTGGCGTGTTTGAAGAAACAACTCCATCTCCAGTTCAATCTCTACATGGCCGACGTCTTTGCGTACTGTGTGTCGCCTACGTACTCCACACCCCTGCCAAGTAGAATGCAAAAGTGAAATATTTTCCGACCTCCCCCCCGGGGGGTAACACCACCCGACCGCGTGTCTGCCTTGTACAGCATCAGCCGTCTTTGACACCTAACGAGTGAGACCGTTGGATGCTGGTTGTGGGTGCGGAACCTGAGCGAACCACTGAGAAGTTGGCTAGGGTGACTGGATGAGGGTGCCCCGAAATACCGGGGAAGGCAGGGTTTCACCAGGTAGCGGCCACGGGTGAAGATATGCCCCCCTGTTTCACACATCACACATGTGTACACGAGCCTGAATTCGATTACCAAATCGAATTTTTACACCAACGCCCCACTACCCAACGCCCCACTACCACGAACGCAACACGAAAGCTGCCTCGACGGACGTATTTCCGTATATATGCATGTGTGTACACACATATGTATGTATGTACTCCCGACACTTCCTGTACGGCAAATACATCACACCGTTCCCGGTAATAGTCCATTTGAAGCCAGGAAGAGCAGCAGCAGCAAACCCAGCAAACCAGCCACGCCGCCTGGGTAGGGGTAGGGGTAGGGGGACTGTGGGGACGGCGACGAAAGCAAAAGCCGCCGCCGGCTGGGGCAAGACACGGAAAAGGCCATTCGATCATACCGTCTAACCTGTTTAATTCATTACCACTATGTTTATGTAATGACGAAAAAAATAAAAAATAACAGATAGCATTAAAGGATTTATTAACAAACTCCATTAACTGTTACAACCTACTTACGGGAATTATGGCCAGGGGTGCGGTGCATCACGTAGGGGACAACCTGCTGGGGCCCCATAGGGCCCGTCAGATGCCGCATGGGGCCCCCTAGTTATTGGTATTGTTGTTGTTGATGGTGTTGGTGTTGGTGGTGTTGGTGTTGGTGTTGGTGTGTTGGTGTAGGCGACGGGGTGGTGGTGGTGGTGGTGGTGGGAAGGTAATCAACCGGACTGGAACCGGACAGCCGCCATGCTGCCACTGCTGCTACTGCTACTGCTGCTACTGCTACTATTACTACTACTATTACTACTACTACTGCTACTGCTGCTACTACTATCACTACTACTATTACTACTACTACTACTACTACTACTACTACTACTACTACTACTACTACTACTACTACTACTACTACTACTACTGCCACCGGCATGCAGGCAGTGAAGGCGCGAGGGTACGCACACACAGCAGATGGTTAGTGGCCCGATAGAGGTATGCGTAGCTAGGCAGTGCAGTCACAGAGCAGGTAGAGGGACGCTCTCGTCAGCTGTAGTAGTGGGGGAGGGGGAGGGGGAGGGGGGCTCACAATAACAGATGGGGAGAAAACACCCACCCGCGAAACCCACCCACCCGAACAACGACACCAGCCGCAAACACTCACCAGCCAGTTGAAGGTTACGTACCAGCATGTCTGCAGGAAAGTACGACGTACGACATGCACGAGGCGGAGAAGAAGGTAAGAGGAGGGGGGTAAGAGAGAGGACTCAGAAACACGGAGGGGTGTGGGAAGTGACTGTAGGGGGGGATTTGAACATGCATGTCCTGGACATCCCGGCATGTGTTGGACAAAAGCGACTGCACCACGTCACTGTCCTAGTGCAGTGTGTTGGCTAGGAGGAGGGGACAGCTTGAGAACATGTGCCAAATGTCTATGCACGTATGTGTGTGTGTCTGTGTGTGTGTCTGTGTGTGTCTGTGTGTGTCTGTGTGTGTCTGTGTGCGTGTGCTTGTGTGCGTGTGTCCGTGTGTCTGTGTGTGTATTTTTCTTTTGCGGAAGTGACGTCATACAGCCTTCCGCCCGGTCGGCATTGCTGCGCACCCGCGGGGGATGCGCGGTTGTCTTGCCGGAGGTCGTTGTTCACCAGGCCGCTGTAGTAGGCGACGCCTTTGGCGCCGTCCTCGGCAGCAGCAGGCGGCTTGACTTTGCCGAAGTGACCGGTACTGGCGTCTTGAGGATTTGAAGAGCGACGATGGTCTGGGTCCGCCTGGGTGCGAACTGTTCGCGGGAACACTTTTGCCGTTGTTAACCTGCCGCTGCAAGCATATGACGCATGAGCAAGTGGCTTTCCGTGGGATAACATTTCTGCCTTGAAGTACTATAATGTAGCAGCAACATAGGCTTTTTAACTAGCGCACTAGAATCGTGAAAATAAAAGCTGAACTGCAAACCGACTTTCTGCCGTACTTGACTTTTTGTGGTTTCGCGCTTTCGGATTGCTTCCAAGGGACAGGCACTTCAGTGTTTTGAATTATTGGTCATCTTAAGAAAATGCAATGGCCTGCTTACATGAACTTGGAAAGTCGCCATTCCTTCCTGCGGCGCACCACACCGAAAGCAATTGCACGCCAGGTACAAGTCCAACGCGCAATTAATCTTTCCAACCAAAATCCTAGCATAGTATCATGCAGTGATGAAGCCTCGAAACGGAAAACGGAATCCGCCGCAGCTGTCCCGCAGAAAGCTCGACTTGAGCCTCCATCCTCGCCTTCTGTTTCTCCTCCGCTACCATCTACTTCAATCGCTCAGGCGGAGGCTGCCTCGTCCAACTCCCAACACCCTTCCTCCGCAAATCGCCCGCTGCCGTACCAACTGAAAGCATCCAGTCGCGCGCTGTTGGAGCGCCGGAAAGCAGAGCAGGCGGCCAGAAAAGCCGCGACCGCTTCCCAGCCCGCTGCAGACGAAGGATCCGACGCAAACGACGCACAGCAGCCCAGCTCCTCATCCCCTCAAGAGCCCAGCAAGACTTTTTTCCGGTGGGGCAAATCCATAATAATCGGAGTTGTAAAATACTTGCACCCCCACCTTTTATGAATTTCCCCCCTCCCAGTGTACCACACCACTCACTGACTGGTTGCCGAACCGACATACATACATACATAATCTAAGTCATACATACATACATACATACATACATACATACATACATACATACATACATACATACATACATACATACATACATACATACATACATACATACATACATACATACATACATACATACATACCGCCTCCCACCCCAACCCCCAGCTTTTGGCATGACGAGAAGCGGTTCAAGGGCAGCGGGGCTGACTCCCTGGTCCAGCGGGCCCTGCTGGCCGCGGGCGGGGAGCGGACCGGCGGCCGCGTCAAGTCCGACCCGCGCCCGGGGCCCGGGCCGCTGGGGTGGCAGAGAGTGGGCTCTTGGGACGTGCTGTGGAGCCCCGCCAGTACCGCATTGCAGGTGTGTATGTATGTATGTGTGTACGTGTGTATGTGTGTGTATGTGTGTGTATGTGTGTGTATGTGTGTGTATGTGTGTATGTATGTTGTTACAGGGTGGTTAACTCCGCCAGCGGCCCCTATCCCGGGGCAGTCCTTGCTCTCCCCTGCTAGAGTGGCACCCTAATCCGTCACCCCATCCGACTTCAGAATGTATTCGTTGGGTTCGGCAACTCACCACCAGCATCCAACCAAATCTAGCAGATCAACGGCGCATCAACTTAGTTCCTGGTCAGCTCGCAAGTTGATAATATCACGTCCTACATCGTCCATATGATGGGGGGCCACCTCCCATTTCAACACTCCTCTAACACCCGAGGAGTCGGTAGGCGGATTTGAACCCGGGTCGGCCGGGAGCAAATGTCAGGCCTTAACCTCTGCCAGCCGCCTGCCTATGTGTGTATGTATGTATGACTTAGATTACACTGTGGGCCGCGAGAGCCGGGGGCCGAAGCCGAAACACAGCGCAAGGGTCGGGAGCACACAAGACTAACCGACTTGTGCTGTGTGCTCCCGAACCCGACTCAGACTGCCAACACTCTACGCAGCCACTCCGCAGCCCCTCCATCCGGGGATGGCGCTGCAGTGAAAACACCACGAAGGGCTCTCAGGTCCCGCTAGAGCGAGCCCACAAGTCTCAGCTAGGGCAAAGCCAAAGGCTCTCTGAAACAACCCCCCACAACACAACCAACGACAAAGGGATCCCAAGGGAAAAAAAGCAAAAAATAAAAAAGACGGTTTGGGCAGCCCAGGTGGGGGAGGGCTCCTGATACACCTAACAAGCCAAAAAA